CTGCTGAAAAAAAATGTCATTATAAAATACACAGATTAAAATTCAAGCCTAAAAAGAAAGATTTTATTTTTCACAAACTAGTTGCCTGGAACAGATCTATTACCTAAATATCAAAACAGATCACCTGTATATAAACATGTAATTTTAAAGCACCATTTCTGATAAAGAAAAACTGTATCTCCTTTTCCAGAGAGCAGGGGGGGAAAAAAATCACTTTATGCTTCCAAACAAAATCCTCCATTGACTAGCACTTAGAAATCATTCCTTGTACCTTGACAATACACAGTAAAGTATGCCATGAAAGGAGTCCCCATTCTATATATCAACACTCCTATGCTCAGTGCTCACCTACAGCAGTGTCTTGGGGGGTGGAGGCTGACACCACCACCAAAAGCGTACATTTGCTAAATGCACATTTCAGTACAACAGCAGCCTGATGGTTTGGCTTAAACATTTACAGGTGAGGTGCAACTAGTGGGATGCACAGTAACTCTTGAGCAAGTCAGGCACCTACTTCCTTACTCTCTCACCAGAAGCAAGGCTTGCTTATTTAATTTCTATTAGTCCCATCTTGTAGGCACAGCAGCTGCAGTATTAGCTGGGAAGTGCATTACCTACTTTGAAAATTCTGTACCTCCCAGCATTTACCAAAACACCTCCTTAAAACAAGCCAAAGGATAAAATTTAGAGTAATGCTGTGCATTTTTAAGAAGTGACTAAACTGGCGCACAAGGGGAAATATGTATGGATATAGCAAGTGCACCGACACCTCAACTGGATGCAAAATATGCTATGGGGAAAACTGCTTCACAGAAAGGCAGCCCTGGGAAAGTATTTAGGCCAACCCTTTGGGGGTGGAGGAAGCCCCAGCTCCCCACAACTCCCCTACATCTGTCCCCACCACTGTGTTACTCCCTGTGCTGTGTCAAGGTGGATTTATGTGAATCAGAAACTGTGACTGCTTTGTTGGTTTACTTCCCTCTGCGCCGAGAATGAGAGCTCATGTGTGTGGGAGGACTGAGGGCAAAGGAGGAAGCAGAAAGGAGAACTGAGAGGATATGATATCTAGGGATTGTGTTTAAACTGGCATTACTAGATTAACACATGTCACACTACAGCCCCAAGCTATAATTTCACACCACTTCTGAACTGATTTAATGGCTAGCTGCCACCAGGTTCCATGCTAGGAAAAGTTTTCTTCTGAGTTAGCTCACTGAACCGGCCCACTGGGGGTTAACAGTGGGAATGGACAGCCAGCATTTCTCCCTCTATGGCATCTGTCCTTTAGATCCAGTCTAATCATTGACTTAGACTGAGCTCTCCCTGTACACAAACAGCATCCATATCAAAGTCTGGGCAGACCAGCTGTAGTACTCAAACTGACACGTTACCTTCTTGCACACCAGCTTCTTCACACGGACTTTACATCACTTCTGAAAATATAATGCACTACACAAAGAGTAATCCAAAATCCTCAAACAAAAGGAGGATCAGAATGAAATTTATTTGCACAGGTCAAAGACCTAAAATAATTTAGCATTTTGCTCCTAAACAGGATTTGGAGTAACAGAATCGCTTTCTTCCTCAGCGCTCCTACTATTACTGAAAATCTTCTGTAGCTTTTGCAAAAATGTCCAACAAATATGAGAATTCCGACTTTGAGTGTTACGTGGCCTTTTTAATTGCTGTTGGCATTCGATTCTGCACTGGTATCTCTGGATTGTTTCTATTAATTAATTGTTGCTATTCTTGAAACACCTGAAAGAAACTATAGAGTTTAATGAACTTACAGAACTACCTCACAATAAGAGCAGCATGCGTCAAATGCCAATATCCTGACAAGCTGTCCATTCCTGTACACTGCTAACAATTGCTCCCTATTATGTAAGCAGCAGGCTCTATCCTTTTAAGATGTTTCCTGTAGGGAGATTTTAGAAATGAGCTACACAGAGAAGTCCTTTCCCATAAGTGGGTTGAAACTTTCTGCTGGCTTACTGGTCTGGTACCAGGCAAATGCTGTGTTACCCACCCTGTCTGTTTTTACCAGGTTTTTTGCAAACACATCCCCAGTTCTGTTGAGCCAAGGATTAAGAGTGTTGATTTTTTAATAGGAGTAACACAGGCTGAGAGAGGAGAATTCCTTCATTAAGTATCTGATTGCAGGATGAGGGCTTATACATAAAATACACCAGAGCACTGATGATTTCACTAGGACTCCACAAAGGTTTGGATTGCAGGAGCAAGGCTTCCATTTTATTATTTTTATGCTTCCTTTGCTTTTTTTAGCTTTTTAGTATTTCATTTACATATAGTGTGCTTAAGCACTTCCAGATTCCTGCAAATTTCTGATAAAAGGTCATCCTAAAACTATCAAACTCGAGCAGACCTTTCTAATCGTCTCTCAGAAGAATGAGAGAGTAGGGCTGACTGCCTTACAGGCTGCATCTGCACTGCAATTAGGAGATATGACTGCACTGTTAGCCTCATACAACAAAACAGTTAAAATACAGAAACACGGACATCAATGTAAGCAATTAATTTGAGCAAGCATCCAATGTACAACAAAATGAGTCTGCATACCCCTATCCGAGGGCTGTGTTACCACAGCTTTGCTACTGCTCATACATGAACTAGTGAGATTAAAGCTAGCACAAGCGTGTCTACACAAGCTATAATAACCACGCATCTGATTGCAGTGTGCATGCATTTTGCTTGTTTTTCAGATCTACAGTGTTCTGTGGAAATAGATGTGTGGAAAACTAAGAGCTACCACTTCAGAATCATGTTAATGCAAATATAGAGATGACAAATTAATCTCCTTCCATTTACTCTCAATAAGCCCGATGCTTCTCAGGATCTGCTGCACAGGCCTTGGAGAAAGAAATTTCAGTAATTCAAGAAACAACTAAATACCAAACAGGCACTTGCTGCAGGACAAGTCTGCATATGATCAGCAAAAATTATTTCATAAAAAGAGAAATTCTACAGTTCTATTGTTAAACAGATGCCTTAGATGAGAAATTCAGAGGCGACAGACAGTACAACAAAAAACATTAGTCTGTTTTGAATTACCAGCAATGTAACCAGAGAGTTATTTACTCTCTAGTTAGTAAATATTATATTTATATATATATAACATATACTGTTGCAAGAGGAGTACATTTCTAAATTCAGAGTTGGTACATGGTATTTTGTTGTATTTGATTCAAAAGACTCCAAAATATCAGGAAGACACATGAGAAAACATAAAAGACAAATTCTGTTGCACTGTCAAGATGAAAAGCAAAATTGTACAAGATTTTCTTTTTAGTCATTCTATCCTTGAAAAGATTCATTCACTCATCACTATGATATTTCAAATTTCAAAGAGATGATAGAGTTGGCAATTAAAGCAACAGCCCGGCCTCTGAAAAAGAAAGTGAAAGCATACTAAAAAGCTAAAGGAACTTTTTATTTAACATAGAAAACCACAAAAAAAAAAAAATTCAGGGCCGTGTCATGACTGATCAACAGCACTGTGTTACTTTACTCAAAGAGTCCTTGCGCTCTTGTGGCTCTTGTCTGATACACAAGACGACTCTACGTATGTTCATGCACATTTAGTGCTGGATTAGATAACTAAAAGCCTTAAACTCGTATTTAAAATCTTAGTTTTGAGAAAGACTCATAAGTAAGTGACGTCATATTGATAAAAGAGTAAATACAGCTTTTGTACTGAGATAGTTGTATAATGAAAGCTAACTGAAAGTGTCGATAGTCAAAATGTTGGAAAGCTTCACAATACTCGTGTCCTTAGCACTCAAAAAAACCAAATTTCCACATAATACACAAAGTTTATAATGACAAGCCAGCAATACTGGAAAAACAAAAGAGAATTCAATGGTTTGAAAAAAAAACAAACACAAAAAAACCCCCACTGATCAATGAACATATTAAACCAAATGCTATTTCATAAAAACTCCAAGTGACAGTGTAAATAAAATGATTCTCAATAAAGGAAGGAAAAAAAACCAGATACAGTACAGCTTAGAGCATCCTTTAAGATGTTAGTCCCTCACTGTAAATTAACTGGATATACATTTAGTAGGACAAACAGATGTCAAGAAATGGCCCACTGTGTTGTATCACTTAAAATTTAATTCCATGTATAGCTTTTGCAGTT